CCTGCCTAAGACGGCCACCTGTCTTATACGGCCACGTTTCTCCTTGATAATGGATGGTCGTCTCACACAGGTTTGACTGTATATTCTTTGAAAAGAAAAAAACAGCAGTTCGCGCTGGGTGACCATAGTTGGCGCTATTTTTTATGTTCCACTGGACGTGCTACCTGCGGTGCAAAGAGAGAGAGAGGAGGGTCTTTATTTTGTTGTAAGAGGGCCCTTGGTGTGGGTACATTAATTAATTTGCCAAAACCTATATAGGCCTTTGTTGGCATGGTTCCACTAACAAGACTTGATAAAGTCGACAAATAGTTTTAAGTTATGAAATCTTCATTCTGTTTTTCCATTTCATGTCCATAAAAATTGTTTCTATATTATTATTACTTTGTATTTTGTGTTAAGAGCTTCAATGCATTGATTGAACGTATTCACGTCTGAGGGTGGGTTGACGGTAAACGCTGCTGCAAACAGTCGCTATGAACAGGTTTCCGGGCTGATTTGTCGCGACAACAACTGACCATGACTGTGTTGAACAGTGCAACCACCGTGGACAGGTCAGGAATAGAAAAAAATGTAATGGTATCACAGAACAGTGGCCTTTAGTACAAATGACCTCTATGGAAAGGTGACCGCTAAGGCTGTATAAAATAGAATATTTGTTAAAAGTATGGAAATTATGACCCCTTTGAAACCTGACGTCAAACGTTCCACAGAAATAAAACCTAAAACTGCAATAGCTAACGACATTTTCAAGAGAATGAGTTCAATCTTGAAGAACAGAAACATCTAAATGAAATGAAAACCAAAATAAACGTTTTTAAAGACAAGTTGAGGTCAGCCCTTCTATACGGTTGTGGATGCTGAATTGTGCCAAAGGTTTTGAAAATAAAATGCATGTAGAAGCAAAAGAAATGTGAGTTGTTTTTTTCCTTAGGAGACTTCAGAATTTCATGGAAGGAAAAAAAATCAATTGCAATAGTGCTGAAGAAGCTCAGGATGGGCTGCTCAGTAATAACAATATTCAGGAAGAGACAAATGCAGTTTCTAGGACACATGAATCGACATAAAGGCCTGTAACACCATGCTCTCCCTGGAAATGTAGAAGGTAAACGACCAAAAGCAACTTTCTCAGAGAACACGAACATACATGGGTGACAGGGCAAGAACAGGGTAATCCTTTAAATTTTTTTGAGGAATAAATTTTCAGAGCACCCGAGTGAAGAAATAAAGGGCGAACCACAATCGCCGATTTATGGTTTAGATCGGGCACTTTATGATGATGAGAAAGATGATGACGATGACCCCATGGGCTGAAAGCTCACATTAAACTTTACTATCGTCTCGTGGATTGGGCTCAGATTTTGACACTTTTACTGTGTTAAGTCTTATATTCGGTGCATAAATGATTCACGTTCTTTAATAGATATGTTAAATGAAAATTCATGATAACGAGGATCTTTTTTTTTTCTTTTCGCAGGGAGTTCTCAGTACATTGGTCGAGTTCAAGATTTACATTTCTACACAGAAGCTTTAACAAACAGGTAATGCATTTACCGCTTATTCTCCCTTTTATATTATTTCATTTCATCGTATGTACATTTTCAATGGTTGTGCTGCTGCTGTCATTGTTATTGGCGACGACGACGACGACGACGACGACGACGATGACGACGACGACGACGACGA